TTTAAGTTTCATAATATTTTTAAGCAACAAAAAAATAATATTATACAACGATTTGATGCAAAACTGTTTAACGATAGTAATATTCTTCCACTGTAGTTCTCTCATCGCCACCATAATCACAGGACAAAAATCTGCGTTAAAATTTATCATTTTGCTTCTCTAGTGCTTTCATCCACTTTTACACTAATTTTATAAACTAAAAATAAACATTTGTATAATATAATAGTTTATAGCATATTTATTTACAAAGTATAGATAAAAATATTAATTGATAATATTATTTAGGGCATACCATGCAGTGTGCCATACCATGCCATATCTTGCATATAACTAACAAACTAGGCAAGCAAAAACACATGTACAAATCACAAGCTAACTCAATATACAATCACAAGCTAACTCAGTATATAAATCTATATACGTGTTATAACCATAGCCAGATTGAAGTAGAGGCCCAGGTCAGGACAATTAATTATTCTCATAGTTGGGTGTTTCAAAAATAAAAAAAATAAAAAATAAAATAAGCATATGTAATAAAACAAAAAATAAATACTGGAGAACTGAAGCCTCGATATGACACCATGAATAACGGTGTTTCAACTTCTTCAGTTGCCAACATCTAGTTTTAAAGTTTCTTCAGTTTTTCTTTTTAACAGGCATCCTGTAGGGAATCTAAAACAATGTTATTTCACTGTAAATGTTAGATGTTATTAATTAGGTATGACATAAATAGAATTGTAAGCAACAATAGTATAACATGATTATTTGGTTACAATTTAAAATTTAAAGTCTTGACTTAATTCAAAATTAAAATGCTACAAATGTAGAGTACTTATATTATTATATATAATACTTATCAAATTATATAATAGCAAATATGTCAATGCTCATTGGAGAGTATTTGACACGATACTCTCGGCAGCCATTGCAACTGAGGTAATAACGAGAAAGAGTAGCAGCACTTTTTTATATAAAAAGCTTTTAAAGAAAAAAGTTTGTTTCGAAAAAAAGTTGCTTTGTTTTGCATTTTAGATAACAAATATTATATAAAAAAGCAAGTTGATTATTTGAACTCGCCACGAGGCGACATTTAATTTTTTAAAACAGTAAGGGGATCTAAAAATAATGTTTTTATTATAAACATAAATAAATATTCTAATTTTATATTTAAAATAAACTTATTTATTACATTTATAACTTTTGAAAATAATAAAAAGTTAAAAATGCATAAAGTTAAGGTAATAAAGAAATTTAAAGTTTTACAGCTATTTTACCACGGACCCGTTAAATATTCTGAACCGAAATATTGGTAGAGCCAACTCGGACGCCTTTTATTGATAATGCACTAGACATTGCAGATGTACACGCTGTTAGTTTTTTGTACTTTTTTTTTTAAATTTTTAAATTTCCGAAATATCTTTGAATCTTCTATTATCATTATCATAAACGATATAATTATTGAATATACTTTGATTAATAAATAGTATGTGTTTTTTAACTTTTTAATCTGTTTTTAAAGTTTTTTTTTTTTAATGTTTTACTTATCGAAACACGTTTTGTTTTAAAGGTGGTTCGTTGAAACTCTGCCTTGGCAGGCTGGTAGTTTTAAGTATCTAAAGATCACCTTATTTTCAATGTTAGTAAGTTTTTTTTTTAATTTTAATTGGTTTTGAATAATTTTATGTTAGATATTCAATCGTGTTTTATATGAATCTATTTATTTAGTACAGTGGTGTTGTCTGGTTGCGATATTCAGTTTAGATTTTATAAAGTTCAATTTACTTTTAAAGAATCTTTGAAATTTACTTCTTAAAAAAATTAAATTTGCTTTTTTTTTTTACTTTCTAATTCAACAAATTTTTTTGCACTAGGCATTTAAAATTAAATAACAATATTTTGTTTGTTATTTTAATTTTAGTGTCACAGCTTATAACATACTGCAGGGTTTAATTTCTAATTTGTTTTTATCTTAAAAACTAATTTAGAAAAAATTTAATATTCTTTAATATGATTGTCAGGGGTGTGGAGTCGTAAAAAAAAAGGAACAACTCCGACTCCGACTCCAGTTGTTGAAATTTTTTGAACACAACTCTGACTCCAACTCCAAAGCAAAATTTTTGAAAAATTCTTTGAATTCTTAAAAAAATATTACCCGATAAGTTAAATTTTTTTTTTAACAAATTTATGAAACATTCTTTGAGGTTTAGTATGAACATAAGGTTTATTGAATGTTTTGTACATACACGTGCAATACCGAGAAGTTTTTCTTTTGGAGTCGGAGTCGCGATTTTGTTTAGCGACTCCGACTCCGCTGAAAATGTTGCAACTCCGCAACTCCGACTCCATGGTGTTATTCTATTTTATGAGATATTTTAATAATAGTTTGATTACTTTAAATTGTTTTGAATTTTCAGTTTGATTACCTGCATGTTTTTCTTATTTATTACAGCCAATAAATTTGTAGCAATCCCATCAATAATAGCTGCTGCACCGCCCTTATTTGTAAATGGTAAATAAAGGATTTGTAAGCTTTGTAGTTTAGTATGAAGCTAAAATATTATTTAGCTATTTTAATTATTACTTTTTTTTTTTTTTTTTCATTTATCTTATGAAACTTTACTATGCAATTGAGACTTTAATAAGGGCCCACATCCTTTTGTGTACTTAGAGTGTTGGTTTAGAATAGGGTAAAGATTTCCCCTCATTTTTTTTTTTTTTTTTTTTTATTTGCATTCACTCCCAACAAGGCTGCAAGCAACCACTATTAAGTTGGGAGTTACTAGGAAAAAAAAAGAACAGAGTTATAGAGCAAGGAAACGGTTGACAGAAGACTTAAATAATTGAAGGTTGTATGAGTCAGGAAAACATGAAGATGGGAGAGAGTTCCAAAGGATTGAAGTGCGGGGAAAAAAACTAGATGAATAAAAGTTTTTAGAGCATGCAGGGACAGATACAGAAAACGAATGAGACTTAGCTGAATGACAAGTAAAACGAGAATGAATTTTAGTTGATGGAACTAGAGATGATAACTCCTTTGAGCAGTGACCATGATAGTATCTGTAGAAAAGAGAAAGAGATGCAACTTTACGACGATGGGAAAGAAGTTCAAGCTTAGCAGATAGTCCAGGTCCAACAACATTTACAATGCGTTTTTGGACCTTGTCAAGAAGAGAAAGTGAATCGTTAGAAGAACCAGCCCAAATATGACAACAGTATTCCATACAGGGACGAATAAGAGATTTGCAGAGGTAGAGAATGGAATCAGAAGTAAGGAAATGGCGAGCATGATAAAGAGAAGCAACCTTAGTAGAAGCTAATTTAGCAATCGATTGTATATATGGTTTCCATGAAAGGTCAGTAGTAAGCGATCATGTAAGAAGACGTAAGGAGGAGGACTCAGTAAGAGGATTGCCATTCATTAATATAGGAATGTTGACCATATTACGGTAGTTGTTTGCAGTAAGCGATTGGGTTTTTTTAGAGTTGAAATTTACAAGCCTGAATTTACTGAAGTGAGATCGGATTTAAGATCAGCTGCTTGTTCTAGGCGATTGAAAAGAGAAGACTTTTTGTCAAGACAGGAGTATAAAGTTGAGTCATCAGCAAAAAGAGCTACTTTAGATGAAAGGTTGTCAGGAAGATCGTTTATGTAGATAAGAAACAAAACAGGGCCCAGGATGGAACCTTGGGGAACCCCAGAAGTTACTGGAAATAAAGAAGAGTGTTGGCCTTCAAGGATGACTTTAATAAACTGGTTAGAAAGAAATGATTTGATAATCTCAAAAACTTTCCCAGAAACACCATATGAAGTAAGCTTATGGAGAAGACCAGCATGCCAAACTTTGTCGAAAGCTTTAGATTTGTCGAGACAATAGCCCTAGCCCGAGTTTAATTGAGATATGACTTTAGCAACAGAAGCCGGAGTGATTTGAATGTCTAACAATGGGTCAACCTGTTTGACTGGAATGGAAGGAAGAGAATGTCCATAAGATTCAAGAGTGGAATTAGAAGAAAAGTTCTTTGCAAGTAGTTCTGCCTTATCCTTGGGAGAGGTAATAAGATCAGTCCCATGAATGAGAGATGGAATGTTAGATCTACCCTTGTTAACAATGCTGTTGAAGATTTTCCAAAAGTCTTTAGAGCCTAACTTCTGCGATAAGATGCGAGATTTAGTGAACTGAGAATAATGGAGTTTAGCATCAGAAAGCACTTTTTTACATCAATTTCTTGCAATAATAAATAGCTGTTTGTTCTCAAGAGAGTTGTTGTTTTAAAAAAGATGAAAAAAATGATTACGATTGGATATAGCAGCGGCACAAGAAGGAGAAAACCATGGAGTAGAATGAGGCTTGACTTGAAACCGACGAGAAGGAATAAAAGCTTCCATTCCAGCCTGAATCCAGGAGGTTACGTAGGAGGTGCATTTGTCAGCTGAGAGAGAAAAAACATCAGCCCAAGGACCATCATGAAGAAAATCACAAAAGGAAATCCCAGTCAGCTTTAGGGTAGTAGTAGGTGGTGCGATGATAAGGTGAGCCCAAAAAAGAAGTTTGAGAAGAAAGATTTATAGAGATCATTGCATGGTCAGAACCACCTAAGGGAGAAAAGGGAGAAACTGAACACAAGCTAGGGTCAGAGACAAGACATAAGTCGAGGAGTGAAGGTAAATGATTAGGGTTGTCAGGAAAACGAGTCACAAAGTTAACTATCTGAGTAAGAGATTGAGAAATGCAGAAGTTAAAGGCTTTAGTGCCAGCAGGATCAGTGGTGTTAGAGCCAAGCCATTCAGTGTGATGGGCATTAAAATCACCAACAGCAACAATATTGGCAGAGGGGTAAAGAGAGAGGGTATGGTCAATTTGATCAGAGATAACATCTAAAAGAGTGCAATCATGGGAAGAAGTAGAACGATAAAGAACAAAGAGAAAGGTGATAGAGTGAAGAGGTGCTAGGCGAAAGCACATAAAATAATGGTCAAAGGATTCAAACCTGATTTCACGAAAAATAGGGGAATTAATGCGTATGTATACCCCTAAACCTAGCATGTGACTATTGGAGTCTTTACGAATCAAAGGATAGTACCCATCAACACTGACATCTGAAGAAGGAATTGCAGAATTTAAATTTGTTTCACTGAGTGCAAGCAAGTCTGGTGAATTTTGCATGAGGTAAGACTCAACTGATGGAAAGTTGCTTCGTAGACCGCAAATATTTGTAAAAGATATATTAAAATATTTAGGTGGTGGGGATGGTTTTTTAGGTTTTAAATTTTTGGTTACTTTGGTCATGATTTGGGTTTAATTCGAACTTGACTCATTCATAGATAGAGCACAGCCTCCTAATCATTAGCTATGCAGTTGTCTCAGTCCTGTTAATTAACCCTAAGCCGTGACATAGGGCTCCTTATGTAGCCTTGACAATGCACACCAAAAGCATTAACAGGGACACCATCCATGCGCAACATGGCACTGTTAATACTCTGATATTTTGCAGCTGTTGATGGAATCAGCCTCTCTGAGAGCTACCACAGAGTTCGGGAAACCTTACTACCAGCCAGCCTCAGAACCATTAAACTGAGTTTTAGAACTGTACCCTCATATGGAGATAACAGGAAGAGTTGCATAGCCATTATCAAGGAGGCATAAGCAAAATTCTATGAGTAGAGTCAAGGAGATCCAGCATTCATCATCCTAGGCAGGAAACAATGTAACAC